TTTTTTTTTTTTTTTTTTGTAACTCTCAATTTGACATGATGTGGTAGGAGAGTCCGAATCTACCTGTGGAATATGTTGGTTTGTTTTCAGTGCTTGAAAATACACTCAGAGGTAATTAGTTACAGAAGACGCCATATAATTTTAAGTTAACCTGCATGCTGTAAATGTGTTTAATGTCTGAATAAAAAGGAAACATTTTTGAAATGTAATGGCTTTCTTGAAGTTTATTTGATGAAATATTAGGCTGATTTTGCGTGCCTGGCAGAACAGTGATGCTATGTCCATGTGTACAGTAGTTTGTTTGCTAATGCGTTAGCCTTTTGAACTGCAGGTATTAACTGTGTAGACTGAAAAATTAAGAGGGAATGAATTACCAGTCTCGCTTACGTTACTCTGCATCGTTCTACGCATCTGAGTCCTATGTTATCCAGTGTAAAAGTTGTCTTGGTGTCAAAGTAGTTTTTCAAGTACTTTCTCAGCACTTCTTCAGGTCTAGATGGAGGATAACTAAAACACATGCTAAATTCAAGTGGTGATTGATTGGTGTAGATCTTTTATCATTTTTGTGGAAATGTTAATTACATTTCAAGCAGACTGAATGAACCCCAAGTACCAGTCCATTTCAACAAGAATCAGCTCAGAGCCAGTCTTGCTTCATCCGTGCCCTGCTTGTACTACTCACCCCCAGACTGTTTGAAAGGCATCCAGATAGAGTCCCTGCAGTTTGCTTATGGAATCCCTTTAGCATCATTTAACACGTTTCTCTGCCCTTGTTTTCTGAGATTTGTCTCGGATCTGCAGACCTCTGAGACTTGCCTGTGTGTTTTATTTTGTTGGGAAGAGGGCGTGGTCCGCCGGGTGCGCACAGTATCTGGTCTCCCTTGGCTTTCTGGTTACTCTTGGTGGTGCCCACGTCCATCACTGACCCTGTGACACGGTGGACTTGAGGCAGTTCCAGGTGTGTATCACTGGCTTCCATGGCAGGCGCCCCCGGACCGCCCCTCCCAGGCGATACTTCCGCTGTAGGCTCCAGGTACTGGGCACACCATCTGGCCTTTGTCACTGGGACAGGCAGACTTCAGCGTCACCGCTGCTCTCAGGGAGTCCAGGTCAGCTGCCGTCAGCCCTGCCATACCGAGCAGTGCCACCACTGGCTCTGTACCTGAGCCGCACCTGTCCCCGACACTGCACCCTAAAGGGCCACTCTCCCTGGTGCCTGGCCTGGCTGTCGCCGAGGTCAGTCCCAGAGTCCTCTGCCATCCGCTGGGCTACGGCCGCCCCTCCCAGCAAATTCTGTTCCTCCTTGGGGACTTTTCATTGGCCTTGAGTACCCTTTAAATCCCTCTGCTTCCTTGGGAGGTGGTTCTCTTGGATGGAGACTGTTACAGAGAGGGACCCAAGTTTCTTGACTGCAAGCCGGTAGCCAGGCTTGTGATTAACAAGGAAATGAGATTCTTCTGTCAAAAATGTAACAGCTGAGGGCTGGGGATTTAGCTTGGTGTCACCGGCCTCACAAGCATGAAGTCCGGGAGTGTGATCCCCATGTACAAAAAAGTGCTGACATTGGGGTCTGCAAGAGTTAAGGTTTGGGTCTAGATGTCCCCCCAAAGCCTCCTGTGGTGATAGGCTTGATCTAGAGTGTGAAACTGAACTGAATGATTCACGGTGCAGTGCTAGGCTCGAGGGAGCGAGGATTAAGGATGTGAGCGCTGCCCGCCCTACTTAGTCTGAATAAGAGAAAAGGGACACAAAGATGCTGTAGAACTTCATGCTGCCTTGCGCGGCCAGTGCCTCCTCTGTGACCACCTGGCTGCCGTCCACCCTGCCTCGGAGCCGGCTGATGATGGACCGGAACCTCTACGAACTGCAAGCCAGATCAACCCCTTCCCCTGTAGTTTTGGGTGCTGGGTATTTTGTCACTGCAACAAGAGCAAAGTAACACACCAAGGAAGCAGCAGTGCCAGAAATGCCACCATGAACAAAACCTGTCCTACGCCCCCCGGCTTCTTCCAGTCCCCTGTGAAGCCAGGACAGCCAGGAATTACCAGCCCTTCCAGGGACACCTCCGGGGAAGAGGCCGGACTGCAATCCATACGGCAGTGTGGGCCTGCAAAGAAGGGCGCTCCATCCTCAGGATTTGAACTGTAAAGGCCGGAAGGCTGCTGAGAGTTCAAGGCCAGCCTGGCCTACATGGGGAGAACCCGTCTCAAAAAAACACTCTAGACCCACACTAAGGTACATTACAGTACAAAGGAAAAGAAAAAAGTAGCAGATACAGGTTCCACACAGCGGACTGACATTCTGAATGTACCAGTGCCAGAAATTCCATGAAAATAGATCGATACATTACAAACTGAGAAATCTGCAACCTCAGTTGGTGTAAGTAGGTGGAATAAAGTTTTCTCAATGCTCCAGTCCTTAATTCTGTTTCTTGTATAACCTTTCCTGGGAAGCTATTGCTAAACCAAGATGAAGTTAAGAAAAAGGGAGGTGGGGGTGGGGGTCGCGGGAGAGAAAGGCCCAGCAAAAGAAGGCAGTCGGCGGGAGACTGCTCGGACAGCCGTCCACCTGAGGCTGCGTGTTGGGATCCGGAGAGGTTCTGCGTTGAACAAAGGGTCCAGAGAACCCAGAGAAGTAAACCGCGCGGCCGGCGTGCGTGGCGCTTCGCCGGGTTTCTGACCGCGTCGGTGACGGCGGCCGGGAGGCGGGGTGGGTGGAGAGTTCACGGGTGGCAGTGCACGGAGGATTAAGGAGGAAGAGATCTGGAGATGGAAGCGGCTGCTTCTAGGTGGGAGGCTGCCGGGGTGGGGACCAGCGTGTCTGGAAACGCGTTTTCTAGCGCCTCCGGCTCAGACTGCATTTCGTCACGGAGCAGCTGCTTTCGAACTCAGTGCCGGGCTGTCGTCCGAGGTTCGCCTAACCCCGGAGTCAGCGGGCTCGTTCGTGGGACAGTGCATTGTCATCTTAAAGCCTCAGGTGACTAGGTTTCTCCTCACGCTCGGATTCTGTGAGAATCGTGTGGAGGGTTATAAACGCAGCATAGGAAGGACTAGGTTTCCACGGAAACAAACCCTCGAGGTCTCTTGGATAGCTGCTAGAAGTACTTTCTCCGTCAGACGAATGCTTCCAAATTTTGAAAAATTTAGGTGGCTCTTTGAAAAAAAATGTGGTGTAACTTACATATAAAACTTAGCAGCTTGAACCACTTTCAGTGTGCAATTTAGTAGTGTTGGAAGAGAAGTGATTTTTTTAAAAATGTGCACAAATCATTCAGGCTTGGAAAGGGCTAAGAACTTTGGCCATAACTAATGGTTCCATAATCCACACTGAAGTATTTATCTTGTATTCTTTAGTTCGTACCAACTTGCCGGAATAATGTTAATGTTACACTGAACTTTCAAATGTTTCCTCGAGGTAAGATTAGAATATATGACAACTATTTAAAATACTCAAGAAATTAGCTCATCTTTCTCCCACTTAGTGAAAAGCCTTTTAAATGGGAAATAAAAGTAGTGTGACAAAATCTAAGCAATCCCAACGACGTGCACTGTTTCTCGGGAGAAAGCAGACAGCACCAGCGCTAGCAGAACGCCCACATGAGCATCTTGGATACATTATTTTCTGTGCGAAGAAAAAGGCGCACAGCTTTTCTGTACAGTCACCAGAACTGTGCACAGGCCTCCCGCCACACGGCTCTGAAAATGAACTTTTGTCTTGTGCCGATGTAGGCGTGACAGAATGAACAAAGGCCTGCGTCTGAAGGCTGAGAACATTCAACTGAAAATGACAGATGCACTCTCCTTCTGTTGGGGACCCACGTAATGGTTTCATAGCTAGCAGGGTAAGGGAAACCCAGAGTCTTTAGTTCGGCTCCCTTTTGGACGTGGTTGACCACTGCCGAGTACTTTGGTTTTTGTTTTGTGATACTGGGGGTTGAACCCAGGGCCTTTGTATTGAAGTACCTCCCCAGCCCTTTTTAAATTTTTTACTTTGAGACAAGTTCTTGCTAAATCGCTAAGCTGCCCACGCTGGACTCAATTTTCAACCCTCCTGCCTCAGCCTCCCAGAGTGCCGGGATTACAGACACGTGCCACCAGCCCTGCAGGCCAGTACTTTCCGAATATTCCCACCAGTGTTCCCGGACACAGGAAGAAGCCAGCGCCTCTTTCTGGCCCCCTGTGCTTCAGAATTTGTGAAGCGGCCCACGTCCTCGCCACACGCAGTGTTGTAGTTGCTGCATTTGAAGAGGTGGTGCTGGAGGATCGGGCCTGCTGGGGTCCAGTGGGGCTGGAAACTGCCCAGCCTCACACGGAGTGACTACAGGAAGGAGGCCTGCGAGCCCATCCGGCTGGCGGAAAGAGGCTGTTGAGAGGAAACTGAGACTTGGCCCTGAGTCCTGGAGGCACCAAAAGCCCCTCCTGACCTGCCCAGCGAGGCCAGATTCCTCTGCTCCCCGGGCGCTTACGCTGCTGCCCTTCTGGGCTCGTTTTCTCTCCGTCCTTAGCTCACTTCCCCTCCTCAATTCCTATTCATTGTTTAAGACGGGTCTCACCTAGTTGCCCAGGATGACCTCAAATTCCTGGGCTCAAGTGATCCTACTGCCTCGGCCTGCTGAGCAGCTGTGACTACAGGTGTGTGCCTCCGGGCCCAGCATCACGGGCTTTTTTATCCAGCCCGTTCGTATTGATGTTCCCGTTGCTCTTTTGGAAATCCATACTTTCTGTCACACACAGCCACAAGTTTTAATTTCATCTCAGTTTCAGAGCATTCCGAGAAGGTAATTCTCTATCTAAACACCACTAGTGGGATTTGGCTACCTTGTTATAATCAAACACACTTTTTCCAGGAAAATATACAGCTATTAACATGTAAGTGGCAGGGTGGGGCATGGTGGTGCACACCTGTAATCCTAGCACTCGGGGAGGCTGAGGCAGGAGGAATGTTGTGAGTTCGAGGCCACACTGGACCAAACAGCTACATAGGGAGACCCTGCCTCAAAAACAAACAGTAACAGAAGCCCAAAGCAAAACAAACATTAAGCAGAATGTAAAAAGGCTCAAACAGGGCAGGGATGGCACAGCTATAGCGCCAGCCCTCAGGAGCCTGGCAGGGGTCTGTCGAGCCCAGGAGTTCTACACCAGCCTGGGCCATATGGTGAGACTTGTCTCAAAAACAAATAAAAATATGTGGGCTTAAAGTAGCTTTATGTGTCAGTGGGGCCATGTTTTCTTGTATAACCATTTTAAATTTTCACCTACTTTTTAAAATTATTTTTCAGAGATTTTAGCTGTTGGCATTGTGGATAAGTGATTATTACACTTGTCACATGTCTGACAATAAAGGATTAACATCCCTAACACACATGGAATGCTAATAAATAAGAAAGTAAAGATGAAAACTGTGGGGAGGAAATGGACCAAGGACAAAACAGACCATCGAAAGATTTTTTTTTTTTAAATGTTTAACTGTCGTGAGCCGGCGACGCAGAGCACTGTCCAGCAGTGCCTCAAACCTGAAAGAGCAGCGGGGTGGAGATGGGGCAGAGAGAAAGGAAGGACGCCAGGACAAGAGCCTGATCAAGGCGGCGTTTATTGCCGGCAAGCACCGGCCTTTTAAAGCAAAAAAAAAAAAAAAAAAAGTAACTGAAAGGTCACACAGGAAAAGAGCAAACAAGCTCAACAAAAACAACCCACCATGGGTAGTAGTAACCCGGACAACCACTCATCTAAAGGTCAGAGACAAGAAACTGTAACTTTCAGGAATTCCACAAAGGAAACACTCTACCTGCTCAACTGGAGAAGCTTAACACATATGGAGTTACTAGAGTTAGCAGTGCTTACAACCGATACTCATGATCCCCACATTTAACCTCAAGGTCAGGGATTTAGCTCAGTGGCTCTGCCCCCTGCCACGCAAGCACAAGGTCCTGAGTTCGATCGCTGGTATCAAAAAAAAAAAAAAAGTTTAACCTCATGAAAAGTCACAGAAATGCAACTAGAAATCATGAGGAATCTTCTGCTTAGCTGAGCGGGGCTAAACAACAATAACTTGACAAGACTGTCAGCCAGCCGGCTTGCAGAGCACACCTGCCCAGTGGGCGCTGCAGACACAGCCCTGGGCACCTCGTCTGCTGGCCTGTCCTGAGGCCGCCCTGGGCCCGCTTCCTGATGCCCGGCTGCAGCCGCTGAGCTCCGCCGCCCGTCCCCTCCTCCACACTGCTTTTGCTTGGTGGCGACGCTATCCTGCCGAATCCCTGGAGACCCTGAGCCAAAACAATGTCCCTCCTTGGTCCAGGTGTCAAGAACTTGTATTGATAACTGGGCAACCGAAGGACTGCTCCAGAGGGTCTGTGTTCACGGGATGGGAGAGAAAAGGAGGAAAGGAGAACAAGGACAGGAAGAGAGGGAGGGGAGTGAGAAAATGAAGGAGAGAAGAAAAATAGAAAAGGGAGGCAGGGAGGAAGAAAGGAAGGCAGAGGAGGGAAGAAAGAAAAAGAATGAGGGAAAGAAAAGAAAGAAAAGAAGAAAAAGGAAAGAGGAAAGGAGCCAGGCATGGTGACACATATCTATAATCCCAGGGTTTGATCCCCAGTATTTCAAAGAAAACAAAAAGAGCAGGTGTGGTGGCGCACACCTGTAATCCCAGCACTTGGGAGGCTGAGGCAGGAGGATCCCTGCATGTTTGAGGCCAGCCTGTGCTGCACAGTGAGACACCGCCTCAAATAACAATAACAACAACAGTAATTATGTGCAAGCATCAATAGCATATTTTATATAAAATCCAATATATTTTCCAAACAAAATTAAGAAGAGTGGCATTGTTTCGCAAATCTCTTTAATATCGGGTTTAAACGAAAGCCCAATTCTCACCTGATTCTGCCTTAGCATGCTGTGCTGCCTTGTTTGGGGTGAAGAGAATGAAGACAATATAGCCTCACGCGGACGTGTAGCGGGGAAAGAGTCGCAGCTTTTTCCGATGTCCTTCGGTACAAACGGTCTCTCTGACACGGGTCATTCCTGAGAGGTGGCCTGCGCCGTGCACCTCACTGTCAGTGACTGCGGCCCTGATGTGAGGATCCCTTGACTTTCCCCACATCCTCCGCCCGTCTCGCACCCCGAAAGGCCCTCGACCTCCTTTGGCGGGTGGGGGTCCACGGACACGGCCCCACTTACGAAGCCGACGCTCCTCCCACGGGCGATGGGCTCAGTGGAAAACTGGAGACCACAGGCGCCAGCCCAGGCTCCCGGCTTCACCCGCGTCCTGGAGCAGTGGGGAAGCAAGAGAACGGTGAGGTCGGGTCGGGTCCCGGGCATCACCATGGCGACGACGCCTACGCGTCTCCGTGCTAACCGTGAGCCTCTGGGGTCGCTGCGTGCGTGCGTCGGCTCGGGACGCGCATCGGTGTGGGCTTGGCGCGCACGGAGGCTTGAGAAGCCGAGGACGCCTGATGGACGGGGTGTTACCCCCTGTACCAAGGCTGCAGTCGTGTGAACAGCAGACGGCACGGAGAAAACTTCCGAAAGAAAACCAGCCGTGCCATGCTGCCAGCCTCCAGTGTGCACGACTGTGTGCGGTGCGGGGCGACCTGGCCTCCTCCCGCGAGGCCAGCACCACTGCCCTCTGGGGCCACCAGCGGGTGACCAATCCTTCGGTGCCTCGGGGACACTTATCCAAGCAGGGCAAGTGCACAGAGGTAGCTCTGGCACCTGCAACCAACGCCGCTGTGTGATAGGGTACCGAGCTGAGGGTCGCTGCTCACTTTGCTCTAATGTATGGTGATGCTCATATGGTTCCAAATCCCAAATAAATTCAAGTCCCAAAGACTGAAGAAGAACGACCAACAGCTGTCACACTGTGAAACGCCTAGATATCTGGGAACAACTAAAATTTTTTATTTCGGAGTTGGGCATCGTGCTGTAATTCCAACATTTGGGAGGCTGAGGCAGGAGGATTTCCGTTAAGTTTGAAGCCAGCCTGAACTACATAGCAAGTCTCAAAAATTTTTTTATTTCAAATTAATTAAATTAATTAAGGACCTTGTAATTTATTGAATGAGATATTCTGGTTTCCAACCAGATGTCCAGCAGCCTCTGGCCACCGGCAGGTTGGCCTCACTTGGGTCCCAGTTACTCCTGCACAGAAGGAGCCACGACTGCCCCCACGTTATGTGCAACCAGATCGCCTTACTCATGTTCTGGTTACGATCCGTCTACGGCCACACCACCCTGAGAACTCCTGATCTCGGCAGCCAAGCCGGGTGGGGCCTGCTTAGTACTCGGATGGGAGAGTTCTGGTTCCCAGCAACAGAAACAGGTCCTGGCTCATTTCAGCAGAAAAGGACTTGCTGGGAGACTAGCAGGGGCGCACGATAGTGTAGGGCAGAGACCAGCCAGGCAAGGGCAGGGACGAGCTATCCCCGAGGGCACGGAGCCAGCCTGCCACACCCGGCCACTGCAGCGCCACTCAGGTCCCCCCGGCAGAGCCCACGGTTCCCACCTTCCCTCCAGGCTCCTGTGAACCAGAGCACAGCTGAAATCTGCCCCGCAGGAGAGGGGAAGGCGGCACCGAGAGAGCACTGCCTGGGCTGAGGCAGTGCTGGCCGTCAGAGCCCTGTCCGTGCCTGCTGCACATAACCCTAATGCGAATGTTGCACTCCTACACTTTCCTTAAAGTCGCATTATACTGTATCGGAATCGTTATAACAAACTTTGTTCTTCTTTTTTTGAGACAGGGTCTCACTGTGCAGTTCAGACTGGCCTTGAACTCACATGGCGAGCCTCCTGCCTCATCCTCCTGAGTTTGGGTTACAGATGTGCACCACCAGGCCCAGCTTCTAAGAAAAAAACATTTAAACCGAACAATACCTTGTGATCATTTCCATTTTTCACCTGCACCATGATTCTTAATGGTGGTGTGGTATTTCTTCTCTGAATTTACTTTAGATCATTTTGGGAATCTCTACTACTTTTTATAACATAAACAATGCTGGATCATGCTGAACATGGAATTTTTTTCTACGTTCTTTTTGGCTCAAGTATTTTGAGGCCTGCCCATACGTCAGGCACTGTGGGTAAGTACTCCTGTAGCTCCGTGACCCGGAGGACAGCACGCTGTGTCGGGTCTGAATGGCTGGCGAGGCTCACACGCGGTGGGCACTCACTAATCAGCCCGGATCGCAGGGCTGGCGCACGGCAGCCCTGGCTCGGGATACACTCGGTATCGGCAGCTGCAACAGCTCAGGCCCCAGGGCTCTTGGCTTCTTCCTCCAGGATCTGTGCGGTGGTTCGTGCACATATCTCTAAGTCTGGAGGTGTGGAATCAAGGGAGTGAGGACTTTTAAAGCCAGGTGTAGTGGTGCAGGCCTGTAATCCCAGCACTCTGGGAGGCTGAGGTAAGAGGACGGCAAGCCTGAGTCCAGCCTGAGCAACCCAGCAACTCCTGTCTCAAACCTTAAAAGTAGAATAAAATTTAAAAGGGGCCGGGGATGCAGCTCAGTACTAAGGCCCTGGGTCCGGTCTTCAGTGACACACACAAACACACACACACACACCTGATACATCCGGAGTCTGTGTCAGTGCACACCTACCCCAGAAATCTACTCCGAGTGCCTCCTTCCTGTGGCCTTGGCCCACACCTGCTAGGTATTATCTGTCTCCAAGAATCTTTGCCAAGCTAGGCGGTGAAACAAGTGTGTCCAGTATCTTGGGTTTCTTCCGTATTCAGGCAAGCTAGCTTTCCCCACAGCTTGCAGCGCGCCAGGAGAACTTCGGCCCCTAGAGTGCGCTGTGGTCCGTTGTGTTTGAGGCTGCGTCCCATCGCCTGGCTTAGCGCCAGCGCATAGTAGTCGCTCAATAAAATCGCGCTGGGTAACTGAACAGGTAAGAGCGTGTGCTGGGCATGACAGGCGGCGCTGTATACACCTGACCGCACCTTTGCCCCTCACTCTGACGCCTCAATGAGGTCAAAGCCGCTCCCCTTGCTGCTTGGAGCCTGCCTGGCTGCCTCAGTTTACTGGAACCTCCCATCCGGATTCTTCGCACAACAGAGCCTGTGTTTTAAATCTCCTCATTCCAAAGAGATCTTAAAGATGAGCCCGTCTGTTTCCCCATAATGTGGTAGAATGAAACTTGGAGGGTTTTGTTGTCATTATTTCACATTTTTGCTTTTTTACAAGCTGGCTTTCCTCCATCTTAGCTCCTATAACAATGTCGCTGGCCATGTCATTTATAAGCAATAGAATTTCATTTATGGGCCTGTGGCCTGGGAAGTCGAGGATGGCGGGGCCAGAGCTCCCTGATAACGAAGCACCTGTTACAGCACTGATCCAGCAAGCGGCCACGGCCCTCTGGGTTTCCACGCTTCCGTTCACCCTTCCAGCTGTTGCTGTGGAATTGTTTCCAGCGCGTGAACTTTGGGGGACACATCGAAACCACAGCACAAGCCTTGTGACCCCTGTGATCCTTTATTCTTCATCCAGGGCCATCGCACTGAGCTATATCATTGTTTTTCTTTGAGACCCATTCTCTCTAAGTTGCCCAGGCTGGGCTCAAACACACAGTCCTCCTGCCTCAGCCTCCCGGAGTGCACACACGCACTGCCACTCCCGGCAAAGCTTCATTTTTAAATTTAGCTTTGTGACCCTGTGCTTGTGCCTTCCACACTTTCACCGTGGTTCTCTGCTCCAAAGTGAGGAAAGCACGCTGGCCCTTGCCAGCCTGGGTCTTTTCATTTCAGACCACCTCCTAGGGACTTCCGGCTGTGCTCAGCCTGGGGCACCCCTTCTCCTAGGCGTCCACAACTCCATTGCTGGGGTGCTGGCAGCCTCTTTGTGCGGCAGGGCGTTGGACCCTTCCCAAAGCCTTTGAGAACCATCCAGAGAGGGAGGAGAAACGGACTCGGCTCTGTTGGTACCGACTGGAAAGAACTCTGCTAGGAACACGGGCCTGAATCTTTTGTTACGCATTTTGCAAATGTCTTCCATTATTTTCATTTGCCTTTCAATTGTATTTATGGCATTTTTAAAAACTTACAGATGTTTGTGCTGGGGATGTAGCTCAGTGGCACCGCACCTGCCTTGCAAGTGCAAGGTCCTGCTACCAAAAATAAAACAAAACAAAAAAATCCCAACAACTTACAGATATTTTACCTTTTTTGGTAGTCGGATCTGTCAGTCTTCCTTCTGCTGGCTTTCCTTTACCTTTTCCTTTTTCCCGAATAGAAGTCTTTCTGGGGCTGGGAATGTAACTCAGTGGTTCCGTCACCTACCTCGCAAGTGTAAGGTCCCAAGTTCGATCCCTGGTACCAAAAGAAAAAAAAAAAGTGATCATTATATACTGTAAACATGCACTCATAAAAGAAAAATTTTTTTTAAAAGTCTTTCTAGCTGGGCGTTGTGGCACACGTCCGTAATCCCAGCACTCAGGAGGCTGAGTCAGGAGGATCGCTGTGAATTCGAAACCAGCCTGGGCTACATAGTGAGTTCCAGGTCAGTCTCCACTACATAGTGAGACCCTGTCTCAAAAAACCAAAAATAAATAAATAATACGTCTTTCTGTTGCCAGTTCCCCGTGTCCTCACCTTGGGCTGAATTCCAGCCTCGGCGCCCAGGTAAGGTCATGGCCGGGGCGTGGGGCTGCTTTGTGCTTGGCAGTCGGAACCGGTGGGCTCTGTGAAGCCCCAGGTCAGCCGGGTGACCCATGTATGGCTGGAACAGAGAAGAGCCCAGCGCCCTACGACGCCCCGCCTCCACACACGCCCCCTCCGTCCGGGCCTAGGGCTCGCACTTTCCCTGGCACCGTCTTCGCAAGGGCAAGGGTGCGTGTGTATGGACACGATTCCCTTCCTCGGTCGCTGAGAACAAAATCCAGGTAGTTTGGCCACAGACCTCTGCGGTAGGAGAGGTTTGTGTGAGGAAGGAAAAGAGGCAGACAACAAAGTGTAGTAGGTTAAACATGGGATGTGCTAGGAGCGAGTGCAGATCGCTGAAGGTGAAGGAATCCGCAGTACACCAAGGACTTACTTGGTGTCTCGCAGTAACGGATGCTGAGCATTTACTGAGCTGGGTGAATTCTCAGTGACAGCTCCTGCTTCCCATCCCTGCAGGAACCTACAAGAAGCGGGGGCGTGCGGAGGGCCTCCGTTTTGGATCTCCCGAGCCCACTCATTGGCTACAGCCACGCCTTTCAGAGGTCACAGCGCAGCGTTGCTCGTGCATTTACCGAAAGCACCTTCAGAGCCACGAGGGGAGACGGCTGACAGACGGGCTGCGAGGGAAACGAGCTCCTGACCGCATCGCTCTGAAGTAGGAAGGCAGTCGT